GTTTACTGAATTATAATCAATAAAACAGATTACTTTCTTACTTAAAAGTAACTAGTCAATACATTTTTCTGTCTGGTGTAGAATATAAATAAAATGTTTCTCTGCATTTATTAACCAGACACAAAGATGACCAGCATTTGTCATGTTAATATACAGCATGAAAGATCATCTGTTTGACTAAAATGGTTTCCAGTATATCCATTCCATTTTTGTACATGCGTAGCTTTGATAGACTATTCTCTTGTGGTCGCAGGGGCCCGGACGGGAAGTACTACTAGTCCTGAATTGCAACAAAAGAAATTTAGGTTGGATGTTAGGAAGAACTCTAACTATGAGAGTAAGTGCCTGAGCAGATGATTAGTTAAGCTGCAGAAGCGGAAGATTTTAAGAGCAAATTAAACCAATACTTGTCTGGGATGTTTTAAACGTGGAAGATTCTGTAAGGGCTGGATTAGCTAACCCTTGAGATCTCCTCCAGACCTATTTTTCAATGATTCTAATATCCTTTTGGGTGAAATTCTCCATCCATTGTCTCCAGTCAGAGAAACTTTGTTCTATATGAACACAATCCTTTCAGACAAGTTTTATTTACTAGCAAGAATGAGGGGTTGGGGGGAAATACTAGCAAAAATGAGGGATTGGGGGAAAATAATTCTAATCACACCTTGTTTTTTAACAGAGCTGTAGTATTGCCTTTTTCATTTCTTTCTAATGATGAACAGCTAAACTCATTTAATAGATATCAAAGTATGCTTTTAAAATAAACTATGCCTCTGTATGACCAGAAAGCAATTTCATAGAATCCAAGAAAAGGAGGACTGGAAGGGAAATTCAGAGGTCATCTAGTCCAACAGTTAAATACAGGTACATGGAGTTAAACAATTAAATCACAATGGTTTCATAAAATTATTCAGTAGAAGGTTTTTTGCACACTTGAAATGATATTCTGCTCTCAAACTCAGATATGACTCCCATTACTAGGTACATCTCAGTCAGGATAAAAATATTTGTCTGAACCATTCTAACCATACATCTCCCTTATTCTGCGTATCAACCCTAACTTATGATTGCAAATACAATTCTTGACAATGTGCTCTCTCTTTCTTAAAATGCACAGATACATGTTGTAATCTTTATATATGGAGGAAAATATTTACAAGAGCACTGTTCTCACAATCTGACCCATGCATGTGAAGCAGCAGGTCCATGATTTCAGTGGTACTCAGAACAGATGTAAGGGTCTGGACTATATTTTCCAGGACTTGTTTAGACAGAGTTGATCCTGGCTTGAGCAAAGGGTGCTAGATGACCTCCTGAAGCTACCTCTATTCCTACTCACTTCTAGAGCAAATGATATCAAAGACCCCATGGTTTCAACTGACTTCAAAGAGCAAAGTTAAGTCAACAATGAGCCCTTGTGAAAAATCTCTCCATAAGCCATTTACTTTAATTGGTATTACAGTGGGTGAAGTTATATATTACACATAGACCATACTAAGTGACCATGCCCCTCACTCCAGAGCAGTGATACAGCCCAAGTGTCCTGGCTTCTAGCCATACCCCTACACCTGAGCCCTCTAGTGGCAAGTCAGAGGTGTGCAGGCAAGAAACGGTATTAATCTTTACCATGTGACTGCTCACAGCACATTCAAACTTTAACACTGCTTAGCATTCCACAGAGTTAGCATGGCCTATGTGTAATGTGCAACTTCACCCTAACTTCACCCCCAGTTCAGTGCTCTACTTGCCCAGAACTCACTGTATCAGACGTATAACTTGCCAATCTGCTTCTAGTTCCAAATAGAGACATGTCTCCACCTGCAACACTTGTTGAGTAGTATTTAACTAACCAAGCAAGTGAAGTACATAGTGACAACAGGATTGCATGTTTTAGGCCATACACTTCAGAAGTGCCAAGTGGTCCCATGTACTTTATTCAAGAGATGCAAAAGCTGTGCTTACATAATGAGCATGTATTGGAAGTGTCTCCACAAAGGACACAATGAAGACATTTAATTATTTAATGCTTTCTTCATATCTTTCCTTGAACTCATAAAACATACCATCTCCAAGGATGGATTTCACCAACAGTGTCTATTATGCAGTACGTGCCAAATGGCTGCACTGTCCTGATTTGGTTTTATACAAGCTGAGCTTTACCCCCATCAGACTTGTCAAATTGCTGTTCACATTCAGAAGAGACACAGATAAGCTACTACCCAGCTTCTTTTTGTGTAACATTCACCATCTTTATTCAGACATTTGCAACAAAGTATTCTATATCCAAGAGCCTGGATTACTGCAGACCACAATATCCCTTGAACTGTGGTTATAATTAGGCGTCACATCCATTGTAATCCTATGGACGTCATCATGTGTCACTTGCATCTGTTGACAGATCTCATACCAGGCATATCACTGAAATGGCAAGTCTAGAGAGGGCAGCCCACAATAGAAACAATGGCATTTATTTTTGTCCTGTTCCAAGATTGTCGCATAGAAAATATATGTTGCCAACTGCCGGGGCTGCACTGACTGATATTATATTACTAGCTTGAACAAAAATCCATGCCCATACATCTACAGCCTTCTCATAGCAATTATGGCAATAGAGAATGTACTTTCTGAAACTTTTTTTTAGCACCATGAAAAAAGATTGATACCCTTAGATCATTTCATCCAGCAGTCTGTCTATCAAAAAAAGTATCTATTAATTATATCAAACTCCTTTCCAAGTGACGTTGTTATTCTTAAACATATGTATTATTTAAACAGTCTCTGCTCTAGCAATGTAGAATAACAAAGCAACAATACATCTAATCTATCAATCTACTCTGAACTATTAACTTTCCAATGCCACATGCTCTAACTGGATTGAAGAATCAAATGAGTAAAAGCCCAAGGATGGAAATAAGGTGTCTGCTTTAGCAACTCACTTGAGCTTTTCCTTACCAAAAAAAATGTTAAAAGTGGAACAAATCAGATTTACTTCAAACTCAAATACACCTCCCAACATCCAAAATCTCTGAACAGTCAGTTTGCGCTACAGGAAAACGCTTTTGAAGCAACTGACAGCTTTTGATCTGCCACTCTGTTATCATCATAAACACAGTAGTCCATGTGAACATCAGGCACTCTGTAGAGCATGAAGACTCAAAAAGGGCAGGGTGCTATTATCACAGACTAAAGTAAAAAAATCTAGTTAATGCCACTTGGAAGTACAAAATGCCTGTGTATAAAACGGCACAGCTGGTTCCCAGAACTGCTGTAGCTGTGCAACACTAATTAGAAATCATATTATTAGGCCCTTAGATTTGCTGAACAGATCAAGATGATTCATTTGTAACAGTGAAGTGTTTTCCATGCTTTAGTTGGCCATAGGTTACAGCAAAGTAGAATCACTTGCTCATCAGGTAAAAAGAAGTCAAGCTAAACTAAATTTTACTGTTGACTGGTGCAGTTTTATTACTGGTTCAGAGGATGCAATTGAAATAGCAGTCAGTATCATGCAAGGACCAGAATTCCAGCTATCCCCATCTCTTATCATGTTACTCATGCACATTGCAGAGTTGTGTCTGGGCAGCTGCTGCCACTTGACATCTAAACAAACAAAAACAAAAAAATCATGGGGGGTGGGGAGATTTGCAATTTTTTTTGCTAGAAGTAAAATGAAATGCTGGCCCTATTGAATTCAAAGGAGAAAGATGACCCATTCATGCAGGGGCAAGACTTCACTATTAGTTTCCAGCGTATCAATGAGATTCAACTAATTAATTACTCTTACTTTATTAGGGAGTTTATACAGCATCCATTTCTATGATTTTACAAAGGAATCTGTACAAATTCTACAAATTACAGTGGGCCAAATCCTGCCTTTAAATACCAACACATGCAGTTTGATATCTACACTTTGTCTAAAATTTTCCCTGACAACTGTTCTTATATATTAAGAAACAGAATTTAGTCTAATAGCCTGATGGAAGCTATATTTTGTACTTCTGCAGCCAGCCAGTGACCTTTTTACCCCAGACCTGACAGCTGGGAATTGCAAAAATTAATTTTTGCTTTAACAAGTAACACAAACATTTCAAAAGCCAGACTTTCTATACCCCTATGCAATTTACAAAGAGGTGTTTTGAGCTTAAGCAGTTCCCACTTTTTCATGTGCTAAAGATGCCATAGTGATTATCAACTAGAGTATTAGAGGTGTTGACCATGCTTTCAGTAGGTTTATAAATTTCACTGGTGCTCAGAAGCAAGAGTACAACTAGCTTCTGTGATGCGACAATGGTCCTCTCACATGCAAAAGGCAGAAACTTTGCTTCTACAGTGAGACGCTCCAAGGATTTTATGGGATTGTTTCTGCGACTTCACTGGATGAGAGATGGGTACCTTTCAATCCCTAAGTCACTGAATAAAGAGAGCTTTTAAAACTAAGCCTGAATATCACTCCAGACAATATTTTCTCAGCCACATTGTTCAGTGGACCTGTCAGTAAATTCTATTCTAAATTGACTTAATGGACCACAATTTCAAGAGCGGCCTCTTCAGTTGTTTCTGGGAATACTCGTGACTGCTCATATTTGTTTGCACCTGGATGTTGGGCAATTCCATGCATAATTTCCCATTTATACTTGCATTTACCTTATTTTTTAATAGCTGCACACCCACATTCAGAGACCACTTCCTGAAAATCTGGCCCCAGACATGATTTTAGAAATTCTGTCACCCATCAAGAAGTGAACATGAAAATACTGAAACACTTGTTTGTCACAAGAACTAGGGGCTTCTAAAGTGAAAGAGTATTTTATAAGTTATGTATGCTTTTTAGCTATGTTATATAAAAAAAACAGTTGATAACAGATTGCAATACAAAATTATAGACTCTGATTCCCTAGTGCACACCCACTGACAATTCCAGATGCAGTATTGTAATAAGGAGGTGATAATTATTCCACATATACAGACACACACACAGGCAGTTTATTTTATCTCCTGACCTTCCTTTGCTGTTTCTCCCATGCTGGGTCCAGAAGTAGGTCTCTGTCCCATTCTTCCTCTTGGATCATGTATTCGTCCTCTTCGTACTGGTAGTTGTACTGCATGGTTGTTTCTATCTGGTTCATGTTGCTTAAGGAGCAGATTCAATTCTGTGCTTGCTGTGGGATTTTAAAGAAATATTTTACTTTTTGATTGGTGATATGCAGCAGTGGTTGGGGGAGTGGGATTTCCTTCTGCTTTGAAGCAACAAGATGTTAATAGTGACAAATCTTGTCTCAGGAGTGGCTGAAGCTGTTAGGGTGCAGGTAGGAGCTGACCTGTGGTGACCTCCACTCCCTCCCTCCCTCCTTGCTGCTGCCGCAGGTCCCTGTGGCTGAGTCCCCAGAGAAGCTCCAACTCCAGCTCATTACTGCTGCCTATTATCCCCACTGGTTGTCACATGGCTCAGCAGCCTGGAACATCCTCCCCTCTCTCTGTCCCCTGTTTGCAAGCTGCAAGGCAGCTGTCCAGCCTGATTGGCTGAAGCAGGTTGATCCACTGATATAAAGAAGTGGGTGTAATTTCTGTCTTTGCTATGATGTGCTATTAAGAAGTTATACAACTACATTTTCGTGTTTTATGGGCAGTGAAAAGCAAAGATTTATCTATAGGAAGGGAAGGCTCACTATAAAAAAATATCACCTCTATGTACAGTATCTCTTCAGTGGTTCTGTGGCTTGCATTAACTTGTGTTAGTGCGTATTTATGTGTGCTTGTGTATAACTGTGTGTAAATGCATGTGTTATGGTATATAAGAACTGTAGGATATCTTTTTTTTTATTTTGGTAGGTGCATTTTGAGGTCAGGGAGCTGATTACAACTTGTACATTTAAAAATAAAATCTAGCTGACAATGCGTTATAATATGGTACCTACTGTTCTTCCATAGCTGCCCGGCCCATGAGTCACTTCCTTTTCTACAACAGGGAGATGGGCAAAGGGGACATGATGAGCCACTGCAGAAAGTCATATACACCAACAGAAAAAATAACTTACTAAATAGAACAGGCTTGAAACACAAACCAGAGAATAAAAGCCAGATCTAGCAAAGTGCCTCAGCTCCTACTGAAATGAATAGGAAGAAGAGAATGCTTAGCCCTGGGCAAGACCTAGCTGCAAATGAGAAAACATACATGTATAAAGTCAGGTGACTACTGAGGCAAGAGCTTGGCAAATATCTGGTGGAAAATTTGATGAGGAAACCCTTAACTCTCTGTATACTACAAGGCAAACACTGGAAAGGTAGGACTGTCATTAGAAATGCAGGCAGACACATCCCATTCTGACCATGTCATATCATTTTAGTTTTCTAGAAGCCAGCATTTCTGCTGGGAATTGGCAGCTTTACTTTGTTCTATTTCTAGTCTATTATTAACACTTACCCAGATATCTCAAGCAAAGGTCATCCCTGTGCTACAACTTGTATTGGGCATAATTCTGCCCTCTGTTACAAGAAGGAAAATACTAACCCGTGCTGAGAGTCTGTCGTAGATTAACCCAAATAAGAGGTCAGATTTGGGTGGTAGGGCTCCCATAAGGGAATATGAGTGAGCTGCAATGGTGAGTAGCAATTAATTGGATAGCACGTATCCAAATTTCAACCTGCTGCCGCACCATTTCTACTTGACTTTCGGAAAGAAAAAAAATTTAAATCCAATATGCCTAGATAGATAGTAAATAACCTATGGGTGTAACTTTATGATTGCAAATCTGGATGCACAAGGCAGTCAGGAAATGAACGTTTAAAATTCTCACAGCAACTCTTCACTCCCCTACATTACTATGCGTACTATAATCTAGGATTAACATTTAATGGTCTAGGCAAAATATGCTACCTGGACCAATTCCTCTCTCACCTACATTACACAAATACACTCATAATTTACTTCAAAAGTTGAACCCATGTTGAAGGTTAAGGGTGTGCTTCTAAATTAGGATCATAGTGCAAGAAGGCAAATACCTTAGGAAGGCTAGAGCCTGTAGCAGATAGTCATAAAGCAACCCAATTTATACATACATATCTAAATATATACATTGTAAATATATTTTATGATTCTCTTTTTTACTACTGTATCATCACTTGTGCTTCAGTAAATAATTATATAGTAGGTCGGAGTGTTGCTGTAGATGTGATGGTTCAGGAAATGTCTAAGAAAGGACTTCTTGTGATATCTTACTGGACAAACTGTATACTTAGGAGAGCTGCAGGAGAAATGTTAGAGCACCAAGTGCCCTTCCTTAACTCTAAGCTCAAACTTCTGCAGGCTTAAACCTCAGGAAGGGCACTCAGTCATAAAGTAGGGTTGTAAGGGACCTCACAGTGTCATCTAGGCAACCCCCCTGCTCAAGACAAGATCATCACTGACTAAACCATCCCAGCCAAGTGCATCGTATCTGCTCTTGAAAACTTCTAAGGAAGATTTAATTCCTGAATGCTTGTCCAACAGCTCTCCCAACTATACAGTTGACCCACTTACCTCTCATAAATAATTATGAACTATAAAGCAAAAAACAAATTTCTAACTGCTCATTAAGCACCAGAGGAGAGGTCTGAAGTTTCGTAGGTGCAAAATAGTCAAACTTCTGTTAGGAAAATCTTTGTAGTAAGTAAATTTTGGGCAATGTCTATACCCCATGTTTTTAGAATTTGTTTTGTAAGTTTTACCAGTCTCTCCAGAAAAAATAAATCTATTCTTGTGTGAGCTGTAGCTGGTAAATTTTCAAATAGATGGCTCTGCTTTTTGTTCCTGCTGCGGGTGCTCTCACGCCGCACACATCTACCCATCACAGCAAGTTTGTCCCACTACTGCCAAATCAATCCTCTTCTCCAACACCCATTTTAGTCTTTGCCAGCCTGCTCCTCAGTTCTACCAACCTCACCTCCTGGGATTCAACCCCCTCATTTCCCCAACCACAGTGGAGTCCCCTCTCCCCTTTGCAGGATGGGGCAGGGAAGCCATAGGCATCTTTCACCCCTCCCTTTTATCAGTCTAGGTGTTTTGGGAAGGGGCTGAGCAGGAGCAAAAAAAGATGCTCTGAGAAAACAGATAGGGAGTAGAGCTGCTCTGTACTGATGGGCACTTTCATGCCTGCTTCCTAAGCAGCCCAGATTGGCTACCTCAACCCCAAGAGGTGGGCATGCAAGGAAGTAGCCAATCAGAGCGCGGGGTTTCCCCCTGCCGAGCTGGAATAGCTAAAAGGCTGGAACTTCTTGCAGGACTGCAAGGGTATCTCTAGAGCTCTCCACTCTCCTGACACAGTTGAAAAAAACATTAAAAGGACTCGTAATGTTCTTATCAGGGGGTGACACAGAAATACAATGTCACAGTGTATTTGGGAATTATCTATGACTGATATCTAGTGATAAGAGGGGACTGGTTTCTATTGAGGAAACTATAGTGGAATCACTACATCTTCATTTGCCATTTTAATCTCTGCAGTGTGGAATCATAGGATGCCTTCTGCTACTCAGTGTGGAAGAGTAAGGAAGAGGTTTAGTTAACCATCAGTATTTTGCAGTGAAAGACTGGAAAAGGGGCTGGGTGGAGCAGCAGCTTAGTGCAACAGTCTTTTATTTCTGAAGACCTAGATTCAAATCATCTTAGTCTGACTTTTGCATTATAGCATTCAGTACTTTGGCATGAATGAGAATAGCTGCTAAAGGAAAGGCTTAGTGATGGAACAGTCAAAAAGTGTCAACTTTTTGGTCGAGATTTCACTTCATAGTCAGAAATGTATGCAAAGAACTTAGTATACTAAGGGCTTGAGACAGAAGAATGCTGGTTTGTAAATGAATGCTACATTTCATTCTATGGCGTTAGTCATGTGACCTGAACAAGAAGAACAGTGGTCATTATTCTTGTCACATAACAGGTCTCAAATAGTTACATTTACACTGAGTGCCTGCTCATACTGGTTAGCTCTAGTTAGCCACCCCTAAATCACTGGAAACCAAGTTATCTGGAATTCTGAATGCAGTGGTTAATACTTTTTGCAAATAACTGAATCCACTTAGTATATACAATCACTACTGCAATATTTTTAATGTTGCTGGGTGCTTGCAAATATAAAAAAAATGCTGCTTTATTTTAAACTCAGTTCATTCCCACACTGAGCCTCACCATGCCCAGAACAGGTAGTGTGTTACTACAACCTGGCTCACCCAACTTCTGTAAAGATCAGGGACTTCAGTGGGGCTTTTTCTGGTGTGCTTTCATTTAATAGCTGAGCTAACTGAATCAGTTTTTGAGGCACTGCAAAACACACGTGCACACTCATGTAGACACACCCTGCAAATCAAAAGGATTTTCTCAATTAAGTAGATACAATTTTCACCTCCCTACACCAGCTTTAAACAACCTATCCCACTGCATCATTTTAATCAATAGAAATGATCATATTTCACTGTATTTTTGTATCCTTTTTTTGCTCTTACAGATTCCTCACTGTCCTGTCAAGAATTAACTCTTCCAACTTCTAGTGTTCACCTGATCTTTCAACCAACTAACCCTTTTCTCATTCTTTGGCCTCCAAAGCAGTGTTTCCCAACCAGTGCGGCATGGCACAAGTGTGCCGTCAGAAATGAACAGATATGCGGTGAAATTTTGCTGTGGCAATGAGCTACAATAGGTATGAGGATGTGGAATGCCTTAACAGGCATAGGCATGCCGCAGAAAAATTTTATTAAATAAGTGTGCCTTGGGTTGGAAAATGTTGAGAAACCCTGCTCCAGAATTTTAAGAAATGATTTTTAAATTGGGCTGTTAACATAAACTTTGTAACCATGTTTCTACAAGACCATTTCTCCAAATGAACCCAAATGTATAAGAACAAGTCATTAGTTAGATGATTCTACTAACAAGATCAGCAGTGAAACAGTTAAAGGTGTTTAAAATTAAAACACCATTATTAGACTTCTGAGTTAGGATCTTCAATTGTGAACGGAGCAGTATCTGTCAGAATTGTATGGAGATATTTATAATATTCTTATTAAATTCTTCTTGAAGTAATGTCCTTGAGATAAGGAAAGAAACACACAGAACTGTAAGATTCACTTCTGGGTTCAAAATAACTGCTGACATTGTTGAAGGATCTCAAAGCGTTTTACAAACTATATTTAGGAATAATTTCATCTGCCATTGAAACATAGCTGTGGATGAGGTGCGGCATTTATAGGATATACAGATACTACCAATGCATGGAGCAGGACTACAGAGAAAATGCTGACTGCACTGCCATCACCAACTTTTGCCAACATTTTGAGAGGAAGGAAAGTAGTGTTGGCCTAAAACTCAGGAGATGGCCTCCATGACCTTGAATAAGTCACTTCAGATGAGATGTTCAAAAGGGTTTATAAGTGGCCTCACTGCTCTTCTTGAAGTGACCAGGAACAATCTCTCTGTACTGCCATTTCCCATCTGCAAAACAAAGGAAATAATTGCTTCTGCTTCTTGTCTGTCTGTCTCATCCATTTAGAGCTAAGTTTTTTGAAGAAATAAGTTTTTCTCTCCACATACGTTTGTATGGATTCTGTGTACTACTTCATACATATACTGAAGCATCCAACATAATGAAGAAGTTAGAAGTGACTATTGCCAATAAAAACCTAGACTACACAGCTCATTACTTCCAAGAATAAAGGGAGCAGTTGACTCTTACACTGTTCCCTGCTTCCTTGTAAAATTCCTACCAAAAGAGGGACAGCTGGTTCTCCTCACACCCTCCTGCATCTCTACTGACTTCACTCTTAGTTTTACAGATATTGCCTGGGCAACTTCAAACATATCTCACAAGGGTGATACAGATAAATGAAGCAAGCAAAGATTTCAGAAGTCAAAAGTTCCTTGTCTACATTAGAATTATGATGCCAAAGGAAATGCTATATGCAATCACTTACCTAGTCTATTAATGTGTGAGCACTGCAGTACCACTATACAGACGTCACAATGTAATACACACTATGACAGGTGGGAAACTACAAATAGTGCTGGCATAAGATTGGAAAAAATGGTGAGACAGAGCCAGAATTTTCAAAATGGTTCAGAGAGACAAGGGATGGACTGGGGGTATAGAATAGCCTATTAAAAACTTTCAGGAGAACAGTCATGTGTTCTCAAAACCTTGGCCATGCTCCTGTTCCACATGTTGGCTCAAACTTATCTTCAAAGAGAGTAAGCAAGAAATAAATTAACAGTTCAAGTGGAGTGCTAAAGCCTCTAACTGAACTATATTGTGAGCACTTCAAGAATGTCAGAAGATTAAAAAAAATCCCTCTCTGAGCCACATGTGGCCTGTAACCAATAGCACCCTGAACATTTTTTAAAGATGTGCTTCACTGTTCAGCAATGCTGTGGATGTTACTGAGAAGAGAGCTGTGTCAGGTAATGGTTTTGAACTAAATCAGAAATTTCAGGCAATAACTAACTATGGTGATAAGCTTTAGAGAGGTAGATAGCTGTGTTAGTCTGGAGTCAGTCAGAAGGCAGGGTAGAGGTGCAAATAAATACACAGAGCTTTTGTACTGCCACATGATCTCCAACTGTTTGACAATGATTCAAATGCAAGCCTGGTGTAGTTGCTGGCTGCTGGAATGAATTTGGTCTTTTAGTTGATCCTCAAAACACCCTTATGGAATAAGTAGAAGGGAGCAACTTTAATCTGTCAAATGAACAAAAGCCAAATCAGCTTCGCATGTACATCAGTATATCAACACTGACTTCCACATGATTTGCATTGATGTAACAGAGAGATCACACCAGAGTAAGGCATTTGGGCTTATTATGCAGTCTTTGGCAAATCATTTAAACTTTTTTCCCAATATTCCCTTTGTACATTAGGGCAACATTTACTTACCTCACAAAAATGATGTAAGGGCTAATAGTGGTTAAGCATTTAGAAAATGAGAAGTGATTATATTTATTTAAGCCATGCATGAATAGGGCAGTGGTTCTTCCAAGGTCA